GTACTGAGCAACATGGTTTAGTGGGAAATAGTGGTGATAAGTGGATGGTTGGACTGGATAATCTTAGAGGTCTTTTCCAATCTTGGTGATTCTGTGATTCTGACAATTCTGTGCCATGCTAAAGGATTTCAGGACTCCTGAAAGTCACATATATCTATATATTTCTCTATGTATATCTCTCTGGATAGCTAATAACATTGGCTCAAAAGTCTAAGGATATAGGTAAGATTTTGCTCAGTGCATGACAGCTGCTCTATTTACTTCTAGTTACTGAACTGTCTGCAGCATATTCATTGCCTTGTGATCTCAATGGTTTTGATGTTTTAATGATACAAAAATGGAGAATGTTGACACTGGCACTTCTTATTGATACTGAACGTGTCAAAATGAGGCACCTAGATAGCATACTAGGTAGAAAGTACCACTCCAAGTAGGAAGGTAAAACCTGCAGGGTTTTTAAAATGACCTTTTCTCTGCTGACTGATAGGCAAGAATTTTGATTGCCAGCTTCTTGGGAAATGGAGAGGTAACAGACGTTGATTATGCCAATATCAGAGATTGCTGCGGTGACAGTGGAAGTACTACGAGATCTCCCCATGTTTGCTTATGCAACTTGGTAATGATTTATCATGGGAGAAATTATATATCATCTGCAGAAAACAGTAGAGAAATATGTATGGATATATGTTAACACATGATGAGCTGATGAACTTGAAAGTACTGGAAACTACTGGCTCTGTTGATGTTGGATTTGCTGACTACTTCTTTATTCCTTTAATAGTGTTTTGTTCAAGAGACCAGTAACAGATTGTAAAGGCTTGGACAAAGAGAATCATAGCACAATCTGACATGAAGGTAAAAACAAAATAATAATAGGATACTACAGGGAGTAGGAAATGCACTGAACAAGTTTGCACGGAGTAGCTTTCAATTAAAAATAGCTTTGACATATGTATAAGAATACAGGACAATAGAAACATTGAAGCTGGAATAACATAAGTAGGCAGGATAGCAACCCTTAATAGGAGAAATACAGGAGAAGAGATAAAATGGAGACAATAAGAATCCAAGTGAAATAAAAAAAACTTCTATTGAAAAAGGGGAAAAAAAAGGAAGATGCTACAAGAAGCTTATGAAGATGAGGGAGACAGAGTTTTTATATGATAGTGATAAGACAAGAGGGAATGATTTTAAACTAAAAGAGGATAAATTCAGATTAAATGTGAAGCACAGATTTTTACTCAGATGGTGGCGAGGCACTGGAACAGGTTGCCCAGAGAAGTTGTGGATACTCCATGCCTGGAGGTCCTCAAGGCCAGACTGGATGGGGCCCTAGGCAGCCTGATCTTGTGAGGCACAATCCTGTCCAAAGCAGTAGGGTTGGAACAGGATAGTCCTTAAGGTCATATCCAACCCAAGCCATTCTATGACTTTATGATTCTACTATATATTTTCAGCAGAGAAAAACAGTAAGGCTCTGTATCATGCATCTTAGACAAGAGTTGTAGTGGTAATACATGCTGAGTTCTACAGTGAATGGAATTACTAATTTTTTCTCTTTTTATTTGTTTTCAATGTTTTTTGTAGCTGACTACATTTTATTTGACTTTTTTTTTTTTTTTTTTTTAAAGATCATTGATTTACACAGTGAGAACTGAATAACTCTCTACACTGTGTATAAACTCTTCTCATACATACTCTGGGACTAAGTATATTCTTAATCAGGAAAATCCCATTCTAGGATGGTGCTGGGGAAAAAATGAAAGGGAAGAAAGAGGGTGGATTAATCATGTAGCAGCCTTCTCATTTCAGACTTCTAAGGTTATACCATTCATGAAAAAAAAAAAAAAAAAAGCCATTATCTACATCTTTAGGTATAATTCAGGACTAATTAAATCAGTCCAGGAAGGGTCTATAAACAGGGTTCATCTCATGTCAGAGCAGTCAAGAACAAAGTCTCTTTGAGGCACACATATATGGATCTTTGTAAGTCTATTAGTGTGGGTTTTGTTCCCACATTTCTTTTCACAGAAAATTAGTCCTGACTAGATCAACCCAAATGATTAATCAATCTTCTTCTCTGACTGTTTTCAATTTTATGTGATTTTCCTGAGGCTGGGATCACTCATTCTGAAAATTGCCTAAGCATCTTGTGGACCACCTCAATCATTTGCTGTCTAAGGAAAACATTCATCAGCAGTCCTCAAAGGGAAGAAAAAATGAAGACACAGTTCTGAGTTCACCAAGAGTTTGGAACAAGAAACATTTCACAAATATACAAAATTTTTGTCACTGCTGGAGGTCTGAATTCATGGGGAGCTGCATACATTTGGCAAAGCCAAAATCTGACTCTCATAAGATACCCAGTTCGCGATACACTGCTCTCAGTCAATGTCTGCATGCTTGATTATGAAGCTGACCCACACACAACAGAAGGGCTTAAGGGAAGCTATTAAACCAGGAGGGAAAATTCAGTGCTCTGTAGTGTTCTGAAGCAGTGGCTTCTGAGCTGGTCCACCAGGATTTCCCTCAGAAACTCTACTGCAAATGGCCCCAGCTGGTACAGTGCTTTCTGACTAAAGGCTGGAGGTCTTTCAGGGCCCTCTGGCACAGAATGCGTTCAGGTCTCCTCATGAGCTTTGCCAGTATTACATAAATATTTTTCCTTTTGATAATTTCTCACAGCTGTACATCCTTACGTCTTATGGATCTTTCCTAAGTTTTATAAAATATATACCTAAACAAATTCCAGAGGTCTACAGTTTGTTCTAGAATTGGATTTCTAGAAGTCAATGAACAAGCTGGCAAATTTCCTTAAAAGTATAGATGATGTTCTCTGTAGCAGTTGAGTTTTTTTAGGCTTGCCTAGTACACTGAGAGTGACGTTTAAACAAAGCAGTTTTTACTTCTGCTTAAAAAGACACTCACATGATCAAACTCTTCTAAAATGAATATACTGAAGTTCAGTTTTACTGAAACTCACTGAAGCTAAAGATAATTATAATTCCATAGAACACAGAGTGTTTTATGCATGTTTTTACAAAACTGTCGAAATGCAATTTATACAACTGGACACAGCTGAATTTAGTCAAACACTACCAGATACAAAATCCTCCAAAATGTCAAAAATCCACTGGACTATGCTTCTGTACACTGCACACTGTATCTGCAAGTTTATTCATGTGGTTGCATTGCTGCCTCATGGAAAAATTTGGGGAAAAAAAGGTTTTAGTCATGGACAGTTTTGTCAGCTATCGTATTTTTTTTTTCATGCTTTTTTTTCCCATTCTTCATGTCTAGAACTAGTTGCTTAAAAATGGTATCGGGTTTTTCAATCGTAATTGTGCTCTACCTGTGACAGCTCGGTTATAGTTTTCAATGTTTCAATGAGATATCAGCAGGTTTCAAAAGAGAAATGAAGCTACGCTTTTATGATAGATATTACTATGTCTTCCTGAGTATTTCAGAAACTGTATTGTAACAAGATAAAATCTACTTGTGTAACCGGCCTATGTCCTGTTTTGGTGCTGGACTCATGTAAGCTTGTCAGGAGTTCAAGAAGAAACAATGACAAAATCACTTGTATGTCTTCCTTGTGTACTCACCTATATCTAGAAAAAAAACATCAGACAGCACAATCCAAATTTTTCTCAATTTTTTTTCCCATTACTACTACAGCAAAAATATCCAGCAATGCAAGTTCTCTGCCAATCTAACTTTGCCCTAGATAGGCAATGCCTTATGATAGACCATGTCTAATAATGAAAATGAGTATAATTTCAATAACCTACCCATTCATTCGCCTCCTTCCTCCTGAGACTGACAATACAATTTCCAGTCTTGTACTTTCTAAGACTTGTAAACCTGTCAGTACGAACAAATACTACATGCAATCTTTCAGGTGCTAAAAAGTAAGCAGATGATAACTTCTGTTGTATTAAGAAACTTCATTTGGATCTCAAATTCTAGTAGCAACTATTTTAATCATCTTGATCCAGAAACTATCTAACAGGAAAACTTTCATTCATTTGCCTGCAAAGAAGATATTTCTATATTTCTACCAAGAGAATTTTACTGCTCAGGTGGACTACCTTGATGTCATATTCACAAAGAAGATTTTGGGATGAGTGAACTGGGGAATTTTACTTCAAAGCTCCTCTAAATCTTCCTCTGAAAACTAAACAAAAATGTTCTTGAAATGTTTTTAAATGAACATTGACAAGCACCTTCTCTAAACACAGACATTCTCAGACTTTCTTCCTTGCACTACTCTTTTAACTTGTATAATACTTAATGGATGGCATATTTCATTCCACAGGTTCACAATGTTAAAAATGTGCTATTGCTTCTAGTTTTAGTATACCACAAAGCCAGTGATAGCTACAGGCACTATGAGCAATATATGACTGAAGAAAAATGAGATTACTATTGATAAGAAACAAGAGCATTTCATATCTTAAAAGAGTAAGAAATACAGTAAATATGATCCCCAGAAGCAGATACCCCTCAGACAGACAACAAAAGAAAAATGGAGGAAAAGTATCATTATGGCTTGTTGTTTCCTTCAGCTAGAACAGCAGTGAAATTAAATAGCTCTAGCAAACAGTCCACATGGAGAAGTCCTACATCTCTGAGAAAACATATAACCTAAAGACAACTAACAGTCTACCTAAATAAGTAGTAATTTTCCTCAAGGGAAAAAGTGATTTTACTGTGGCTCACGTACTTTGAGAAAATGTACCTTTACTGTGGAAGTGCTGCTTTTTTGAGGGTCTTCATGCTATAATCAATGTTTATTGTAATAACGATCAATTTAATGGATGTGTAGAACCACTACCAAACCTTAGGCTGGAAATAATGCACTAATGATTCTTTAACAAAAGACTTGAAATCTATGCAAACATGAAACAGCTCCTTTCTCTGACTATTAATGTGTCTTTGCTACATGAAATAATATAATTTAAAAATGTCAGTATTTCATGCTACAATGCAACCCTTACCTTATATCCTGACGATTTGATGTGCACTCCTCTCTTGGTCAGTGTAGATTTCATTCGGATGAAAAAAGAACGCTCTAGAGTGTTGTCAGTGGTTAGTAAACTGGGGCTTGTAGATTCGACTAGGGAATAGAAAAAATACATATATACATAATTTAGATTTTATACATCCCTTCTCAGCTACTTTTCAGGTGCAATCCTTGAACTCACTAAAAATAAATGACTGATGGTTGCTAAGAGTGCTGTAATCAATTTACCTCGTTTAGAAAATGTTTACTTAGCAAAAAAAAAAAAAAAAAAAATTGAAAAATATATGTATACTCAGACTCATTTTCAAGTTCTTTTCTCCACAGATTTTTTTTTTCCCAGAGATTTACTTCATTAACTCTTTCTTGCACAGTTTTGCTATGAATGCATTCCATAGAATCACTGAATGGCTTAGGCTGGAAGGGACCTTAAAGTCACTATTTCCAACTCCCTGCTGAGGACAGGGTTGTCACCCACAGGATCCGGCTGTCCAGAGCCCCCATCCAACCCTCCAGGGATGGTGCATCCACAGCTTCTCTGGGCAATCTGTTTACTGCCTCACTGCCCTGAGTAAGGAATTTCCTCCAAGCTATATGCTTGGATCTAAATCTCTCCTCTTCTAATTAAAAACATAACCTATCACTATCAGATTATGTAAAAATAAGTCCCCCTTCTGTTTATAAGATCACTTCAGCTATGGGAAGGCCACAACGATTCTTCCTTTTCTTCTTTGGAGCCTTTTCTTCTCCAAGCTAAGCATGCCCAGCTCCCTCAACATTTCTTCATAGGAGAGGAGCTCCAGCCTTCTGAACATCTTTGTGGCATTTTAAAAGTAGTGAACTTCTTCAGTGTTTTTTGAATAAGAAAGTGTCACCAAGGAAGCAATTCTGTTTGCTGAAAGAGGCAGCAAATTCTGCAGACTTTCATTCCCAAGATTCCATTTCTTTCTTTCCTAGGATAAGAACTGCTGTTTGTGAATGCCCTGATTTCCCTGTTACTGAGGGTTAATTATTATCAATAAAGAAATAAAGCAACTTGAAGTAAAATATGCTCATGTGACTAAGGCATTATTATTATTATTATTTTTACCATTATTGATAATAATCATAATTTATTTGTTGGTGACTAACTAGTAATGAACAGTGTTTTTCAGCTTTTCCTTTAAGTGGTGGATCTCACCTTTGACTGTCACTTCCTGAACTGCAACCATTTATAAACAGTAAATAAATACTCTTAGTATAAATCATGGTAAACTATTGGTTACAACAATAATTAGCACCAAAATATTCTCTACACAATCATTGTTGTTGCTGTTTTTCACCTTGATAACCAACAGTTCCCTACCTCTTCTCATAGTATTGTGTATGGGAAAATTCTGGAGTAGACTTACAATAAGCACTAATGGAGCTTAATTCACATTCAGTTCCAATCAGTAATTAACACTGAATAAAAAGTTATTTTGAAATTGTTTTGAAATTATTCTGCTACTGTTCTAAAGAACCAACCAAATTACTAGTGGAAAGTTTTAAAGTATTTAACAAGTATGTTATGCAGTGAACAGAAACACCAAAACTTGTTTGTGAGCTATGGATTTTATAAAAATGTCTTTATTTTATTGTGGTCACATTGTCTTCTGTTTCAGACATTTCAGCTCAATTGTGATAAAATAACAGACTACAATGTTCCTTTCTTTCGTGTTTCAAGATTTTTTTTTTTTTTTTTTTAGAGAGCATGGATTCGATGTCATTTTAAATGTACAGCTCTTTATCACTCGAGGGAAAAGCAGAGCCATGTTATATTTAGTACTTTCATTTCTTCTGATTAAATATGAATTACTATGAAATTTTTCTCATCATCTAACACGCCATAATACGCCAACAGCTTTTTAATACACTATATAAGCACAAACTTCTGCTCTAAGAGTTTAATTTGCCCCTCTAATCCAATCACATCAACCTTATTTCTCTTATCAGAGATTCCCATTTTGAATTAAATGAGCTCATTAGTTTTAATCAAAAGCAGAGAGATCAAAACTTAAACGTAAATGCTTTAGATCAGAACTGTCAGTCAGCCGTGCAGTTCTATTTTACTAAAACACAAGATCAGAGACCCTTAGAACCAATTTTTTCTCGTAAGGGATGCCAAGAGCTTGAAGATGCTATATCCTTTTTTTTTTTTTTTTTTTCCTCTTCCAAGGACAGATTATACATTTAAGGTTAGACTTAATTTAGTGTTTTTTTTCTTTTTTTCTTTTTTCCACCCTGGTGGAAATGGAAAAGTATGCCATTCTGCTCTTGTCTCCTTCACACTTATTGGTGCTGGTCCTTGGAGACCTGAACAAATGTGGGGCCATGAGAATCCATGCAACAAGCCTGTCCTTAAAAAAATTCAGCTCTGTTCAGCAATATCATCTGAGAAATGAAACCCTGAAAAGAAAGATATATGTTTCAATGTACAGGATAGTGGAACTCTGAAACCATAACCTGGGTCATCAGGTTGGTAGCAGTACTGGTAAGATGAGAATTGTTATTAATTATTATTATTATACAGTACTCTCCAGTACAGTACTGAAAGAGTATATTAAGAAACCACAGCATGGGTGCTTCCTGCTGTGTGAAGAAATGCTAAAATCAGCTTAACAAGTGTAGTTGTTGTAGTCCAGTACATTATGCTCTAGCACAGGCAATAAGTACAATATGTCCTTCTGTGTTCTAATGGTGATTACATAAACACACAGAAGTAACATTAATTAAACAGGCAATATCAAATGCTTGAGAAACGATCTGGTTGTCATACATATGTATTATTCCCAAGAAATATAAATTTAAAATTCCCTTTATTTCACAGATTCAAGAAAGGAAGGAAAATAGCTGAGATCCGGTATAGTGTATGCTACCTTGTATCATGAGCTTAACATTATTTTACTGTTGCTATGATATGTACAAAACTTAAGTTTCTCTGTAAGTGAACGTGATAAAATGCATATAATTTATCCACATACTGGAACAGTGAATGTCATGTAAATACAAATTCTAAAGTGTTTGATTTTCTTTAACAAAATGTACCTGAGAGTATATCTGTGGGATGGGATTAGTTACCTAAAAGTCCAGAACAGCTTATGAACAGCTTTCTGAATGTCTCAGGAGAGAACCATTGTGGTTGCAGTACAAATCTACATTCAGAGTTGCATCCACCCACGGTAGAAACAATGCTGACTCTAATTATGCATGCAGGATTTTAAAAACAGGATGTGTACAGAACATATTTATTGATGTCAGTGAGATTTGCACAGGATTATATTGAATGTGGTCCATTATAAGTCCTCAGGAGTTGATTCAAAATGCCTAATATTCAGACCTTTCATTTTTTTCCAATTATGTGAAAGAAGGCTAGTAATTGGAGGACTGAAACTCTGACTGAAACAATTCTTAATTTCAGGAGCTGTTGGGGGTGTGGTTTTTTTTTTGTTTGTTTGTTCGTTTGTTTTTTTTTCTTAAAATCTGTTATCTTAGACATTGAAAAAACCTGAAGTAAACAGGGTAAACTCTGCTTGATACTGTAGCAACTAAAGATGCCTCTTGGACTGAAGAACAGTGCTCCTGGGCTGAATTTACTGAGTCTAAACCTACTGTTGAGCTATAAAACTCTGAAACTGTGAGTTTAGAATACTAATAATATGATAAAAGTCAACACTCACTGTGTGTGAATGAAAGTACTATACACTGTCAGGCTCAGAAGTATAAAAAGTTAAGTCTGGATTGTCTTTGCAAACAGTGATTGTGTACTCTGTTGGGAAAGCATTTGTCTTTGTGCGTCCTCAAATATCTTCAGCAGGTACTACTAAAGGAATAAACCTCTTTTCTTTCTGCTCCCAAAGCTGCTAAAGCAGTATAAGATTTCTGGACACAAAGAATGTATTGTCGGTTTTGAAGGGCATGAAGCTGCAACCCCTATGCGCATACAAAAATGCCACAAATCTTAAAATATTAATTAAGAACCATACAGCCAAATGAGGACATAGTATGAACTAGCAGCCAATTCAAAAACATATTTACTTATCTCTTCCTAAGCATTTCTTTGTGAGCTAGCCTTGTAGCCCTGAGCCTTCAATGGGCTTTGTCTTGAGAATAAACTTGGGTCTGGACCCCACAAACCAGTCATGCATCATTTAACTTTACATGCTAAAAGAGTTCTGACACTGGTGTAATGTGCACTGATAGATAAACATGCACATCATTATTTGGAAGACTGAGGTCAATGGCTCTGATCTTACATTGATCTGTAGATGTATTCCAGCATCTCTATGCAGTCTAGCCTTACTTTATAAAACAAAACAATGTAAAACAATGCAAATAATTACTATTACACAGCAATAGCATGAGTATCATTTCCATGACGGATTCACAAGTACACTCAAGTTCAGATAAACAATTTTTCCCTGAAGAAAGTTGTTCCAGATCTGATTTATGTCTTAAATAACAAAATGCTGTCAAAGCAAACTGAATAAATATTCACCAACTTTGTGGTTTTTTCCCCCCCTGAAACGTATTAAAAATAATTGAGAGGAGAGGAACAGCATTTTTTACATACCAAACAGATATAAAATAGGCTTCTCATTCTGAGAAGGAATAAAAGTAAATCATATATCAACAAGTAATTTGTGAGGTCATGAGGGAAAAAAGGTTATGGTTTAACACACAGGAAATTCTGGATTTGTTAGCGTTTAAGGAAGTTTTTCCTTAGTATTAATTCCTCTTTGTTTAGAACAAGTGCCTATGTAGTTTTTAGGAGACCGTTTCAAATTCCGTCTATACAGCTTTTAAAGCAGAAATGAAATAAGAGAACATGCAAAACAGTTATAAAAAGGGAGCTCTCTTCCCATTTCATCTTCTACACTTGCAAACCTCTTCATGCATTTTTTTTTAAGGTCTGATAATTCTTTGCATAGGCAACTGAGAATCCAGATATTCAGATGAATAATTAGGTAATATAAATCTATGATTTTCAGTCAGACTAGATGCATCTTTGCAAATGCTTCTGTTTCTTTTGTGCAGCTTATTGCCTGTAACTTAAATCTTAAAAAACTTACAGAGAA